AGTTTAAATTTTTGAAGAAAGGTAAATTTTAATCAAAAGAGTTATTAAAACAGTAATTTCAATTAGTTAATTAAGATGTTTCATCCTAATATTAAGATCATATAGTTTTGTTTAATTTAATTGTTAAAATTATTTAATAACTAGTAAAATAACTAATAAGTATATATTATTTAATAAAAAACTAATATTTTCACATAGAGTAAAAATCTAATTATATATAAATTTTATACGAAGTTTAATTAATTATTTTTTTTATTTTTAATAATTTAAATTTATTTATATTTTTTAAAAGTAACCTAATATTTTCACATAAAGTAAAAATCTAATTATATATAAATTTTATACGAAATTTTAATTAATTATTTTTTATTTTTAATAATTTAAATTTATTTATATTTTTTAAAAGTAACTACACCACGTGAAAAGGTTGCCAAAGACTAATATTTTTTATTAATTGATTTTAAATTATTTGAAAATGAGGCGTACAAGAGATGAGTAAAGAAAAAATAAAAAATAAAAATGCGCCGCTATATTTTCGCGTACGAAACGGCGTCAGAACAGCACCAAGCTGCTGATGTGCATGTGAAGGAAGGAGTTGAGGACGGTGGTTCTGGTTTCAAGTTCCGACCGCATCGCCGTCACCGTCATAACTTCACTATTAAATCTTCCAAAAAAAAGAACTCTCTGCCTGACATCGCCGATTCCTCTATATTCCCGAAGCAGATAGAGTAACTCAAAAGAATATTTGTAAGATATGATTATGGGCCAGGAAGAAGCCGACCGGAGAATATCGCCGTCGAAGGAGTTCAGAGGAAGAGAGGAGTTCCGCTCGACCATTTTCCATGCAATCTTAGCTCTCACTTTATGCCTCGGACCCATCTATTTCAACGTCTTCTTAGTCCTTATCTCGCTGTTCTTCCTCCCTCTTTCCAAGTCCCTTGTGTTCGTTATCTCTCTCTCTCTCTCTTTTTCTCTGTTTCCTCCTTTTATAGTTCAGTAGAAAAATCAAAGTCTTCTCCTTTTCCCCTGTATTTGTTCTGGGTCAAAACCCTTTTTTTGGAATTTTTTCAGGGTGATTGGATTGCTTTTGGTTTTCATGCTCATTCCTATCAACCCTTATAGCAAATATGGCAGGCAATTGGCCAGGTACTGTTCTGTGTCACTTGTTTTCCTTTTTGATGGTGAAGTGAATGAATTTCCTTAGTCATTTCTTGAAATGAATTCCAATTACCATTGCAGGTTTATTTGTACGAATGTTTATAGTTATTTTCCCGTCACTCTCCATGTTGAGGATATACATGCCTTCCGTCCTGATCAAGCTTATGGTTTGTTTCTTAGTTCATAATTCTCTTTAGTTTATAGTGTGGAAGATTTGATTTTATGCTAAGACTTAGAAATGTGTAAGCGGATTCCAATTCTTGATGTATTTTGATTTTTAATTTAGGTGTTAGTTGAGGTATAGCTTAGGATACTGGGATAATATTAATAAAAGTTCATCCAAAAGAATGTCTAAAATTGTTGCTTTTTGACTGAAGATTTTACATTTTTGCTTCTCATTAGCTAATTAATCCCAACTTTACTTCAATGATCAAGAATTGTGTAATGGCATTTGTTCCAACACAATTCTCCAAGATAAGCACATGTTCAAAGATGATCATATATATCAAATTTGTATCTCCCTTTGGAATGTCTGCATGGCTTGCTATATTTTTCCATTCGCAGTGTGACAGTCACCAGATTTAAACACGCTGTTGCTTCTACAATTTCTAATGGAACTTCTTATTTCTAGCTAGCCTAATAAGTTCTCTAGGTCCTTTCTCTTTTTTTAGCAAGTACTAAACCTTACATTCTGCATCTTGCAGTTTTTGGTTATGAGCCGCATTCGGTTTTGCCAATTGGCATTGCTGCACTTTCTGATTTAACTGGTTTCATGCCTCTGCTGAAAATAAAGGTCCTTGCAAGTAGTGCTGTAAGGAATTTTACCCTAAAGCATAAACTATCATATCTGAGTTTTATGGATCATTTCTTGGTAATTTCTTTCTGTTTTACATGTGTGAAATGAATAATTAGATCTTCCACACACCATTTATGAGGCACATCTGGACATGGTTGGGTCTCACACCAGCGACAAAGAAAAATTTTATATCCCTCTTGGCTGCTGGTTATAGTTGCATCCTAGTGCCTGGTGGGGTGCAAGAGATATTTTACATGGAGCATGGTGATGAGGTTACTACTTTCAATCCTGTTGAATGATGTTTCAAAACTTGAGAAAAAATTGCTGTTAACTTTTGATAAACTACCCTGGATTGTTCTTAATTGGTTGATAGGTTTTGGCAATGAGTATACTTCCCCAATTCAGAGCTAGATATCTCACTATAACTTTTGAAGTCAGCAGCTAAAATGTTGTTAGAGTTAATTGCTGAATAGGAAGTGTCATGGGATCTTTCTTTTTTTAGTTCTTTGTAGAAGTTCCACAGGATTCCGTTCATTCTCTAGTGGATTCTATAAAATATGGAGAAGACAGCAGAGTTATTAAAGGTTATTAGTTATTAGCCAGTTGTAGTCCCTCCAAATTACAATGTCTATAATCAAGGTGCTCTGGGTGCAGTCTTTTTGGTAGGAAGAAGATTTTTGGATAAAGACTCTTTTTCTCACACGTGAATACATTTTTCATGAAAAATTTTCTTGTAGATAATTTAATTCTTGGAAGGTGGGAAATATACAGACATGGTCCTTACTGTTGCTTCTATGCTGGCTTCTTTTAGTCAAATAATCTTTCTGTGACATCATATTTTCCTTGATATTCTTATACATGAACACTGAAAAAAGAATTTATTTTCTCTCTACCTATGACTAGATTGGCAATTTAGCAACAAATTTCTTCTTTTACAGACTGTTTTCGTTAGGACACGAAAAGGATTTGTCCGCATAGCCATGGAAATGGGCCTCCCCCTAGTTCCAGTTTACTGTTTTGGTCAGGTATGGTTGCTTTTGAAACTCCATGTGACATAGATACTTGCACTTTTCATTTACCCATACAACTGGTCAACTGCATATTTCGTTCATTTTAGTATTGCATTTGTATTTGTTTTTAGGCCTTCTTGTTGAATACTTGCTCTAACATTGATTGTAAACAGCTGTATGGATCAGTTTGTTGCAATTTTCATATTGTGTTGCGGGTTATCGCTTCAACTTGTTATCTCAACCTGTTTCATTTGACATGGTCATTTTAGCTTGCATATTATTTCCTTCCTAGATACTTATTGTATTTGTTATTTTATTTTATTTTTTGTTTTCAATGATGCTTCAGTCAAATGTCTTCAAGTGGTGGAAACCTGGTGGGGAGCTTTATCTGAAATTTTGCAGAGCTATCAAGTTCACTCCCATTTTCTTTTGGGGAATTTTCGGGTATGCAAAAATTCTTACTTTTTCAGTTGTTTTTTTCTTATTCTCCGTCTCGAGTATTTATGTCCATTGTGTATTCACATTCTTTTTAAGCTCCACCAAACACCCTCTAAGTCAATCTCCTTGCACAACATAAATTTGATTTGGTGGAAACTTTTTCCCTTAGAAACTTGCTTGGGATAAGAATGTTTTATCGCTTCCCTCTATCTCCATGGATGATGCAGCTTGAAGAAATTTGATCTTGTCTTCTTGATTATGTTAAAGATATTGTAACTTGGAAAGTTTTTCTTCTATTTCAGGAGTTTTCTGCTAGCATAATAATGTCTAAATATTAGCAAGTTATTTTCTCAAACTACTTGAAGCTTGTGACTGTTCCTTTCTTTTGCAGATCTCCCTTACCCTACCAGCGTCCAATGCATGTAGTTGTGGGTAAACCAATAGAATTGAAGAAAAATCCCCAACCTACCATGGAAGAGGTATTAATACTCCTATATTGTGTGCTTAGATGGTTTGTGTTAGAATTCCCACAGCTAGAACATAGTATTGTCATTGCTACATTGTCCAAATATATATCTAATCTTTTAGATGTAGAACTTAACTGCTACATTATTGCTGTATTTGCATCTCTGTCGCAGGTCAGTGAAGTACACAGCCAGTTTGTTCAGGCACTTCAAGATCTATTCGAAAAGCACAAAGCTCGGGTTGGACATGCTGATATTCAATTGAAAGTTCTTTGATTTGAAAACAATGTTCTGTAATTGTCCCTAAATTGTCATTGAACATGGTACAAGGAATATATAAGAATAGCCTCTGTGAATGGCAAATTCTTTGATTTAATTCAAGAAATCTGTTTACTCACAATGTTGAGGTCATGGAATAAAAAATGCATAATTTCTGCTAGCTAACTTTCAGCTGTTATGAACATGATAGTTGCATCATGATGGCATGGAGCTCAAAAAGGCACCCCTGCTAAAGACAAATTGGTGGTCCAAAACCTTGAAATAAGCGCTTGAATTTTATTTCTATTATTATCATATTTTGGTTACATTTTCTTTTCCTATTTATGGGCAGTGAATTACATACACTTCATAGTCATTTGGTCAAACTACAAATGGACAGAAACCTAAGAGAAGTGAGGAGGGAAGGGTGTGGAGTGGAACTAGGTTATTTGAATTTCAGTCCTTCATTCCCAACTTAATATTCTGAACTTTTACTGAGAGTTGCAACTTCTGATCCTCAATATCTTTCAAAATTGAAAGTAAGTTGGCACGGTATACTTCACATTTTCGTCTGGCACGCTCAAGTTGACGTGTCAGTTTCTGAATTTTCTTGTCCTGGTCATCCTACGAAAAGGAGATTTTGCAATGTTTAGTAACTGGGATGATTTGGGATTTTGGAGAATGCATACACATAAAGCCAGCCACAGATTTTTGCCACATTATCAATTTGATGTATCTACTATCAGACTGATGGATAACAGAAACAAGCAAAAGTAACAATAAGTTGCAAAAATAGCTGTACCAGTACCAACATTTGTAACGTTTAAGTACACACTAAGCATCTAATTACATATAAAGTTTTTTCTATTATGGATATAAACCAAGTTTAATGACATTAGATATGATATAAATATGAACCATCGATACTAACAAGATAGTAGCTATTATTATTACTGTAAATATCTTTCATGATAACAGCATAGCATTGTGGCAACTACAAAAACCATATGCTACAATAAGTGGCATCAAGGTTTCAGGGTTAGTTCCATTATTCCATATTTTCTCTATAAGCTCAAAATGAGATGCAGGAGAAAACAAGATACAAATTTAAGTGTTAGGCTAAAGGGAAAATGCCGAAGAACGAAGTCATTGCCTTGGCAAGGGCAAATTCGTCCATATGGTTGGCCATAGAAGGGCCTTTTAGGGTTAGGGATTTAGTCTTTCTTGCTTCCTTGTGCAATTTCTATTACAGTAAGGGAATCGGTTTCTAAGGAAGTGTGTTTAAGTTTCAAACAACAAGCTTAAACACTCAGAGAAAATCCGACAATTAAAAGTCATATAAAGTTTGCTGAAAATAAGTGATGCAGTAATGCTAAATAAAAAATATAAGTAAATAAGCTATTGACTGAAGTAATATAACAGAGAACAACTGACCACAGATGCATGCTGTTCTAAACCCCCTTGAGTATTGGCAGGGTTGAGATTTGCTTGGTTTCCTTCATGTGGGCGATCTCCTCTGCCAGTTTCACTTGTAATGGCAAATTTCCCAGCGTTCTTCTTTGCAAGAGCAACTTTATTTGCAGCCTCCCTTAAAGCATTTATTGCCACATTGTATGTTTCTACAGATTTAACTCCTTCATCAACATACTTCAGGGCCTCATGACGAAGATTATTGTATCGAACTGTTAAAGACTCTTGTGAACGATTTAACAAATCACCAGAATGATCCTCCAATATTACACCACTCTTGGCATTCCTTGTCCATCGCTTTAAAACATAACAAGGAGGTAGAGTAAGAACATTTGTGACCCTAAAAACTGTCAGTATATGTCTACAAAGAAGGCCAGAGAAGTCAAACATATGGCAGCTGCAAGAGGCTTTCATCTCAAGAATGTTAAAACTGACATGGTAAGCTTTGTGAATTTCCTCATATTTAGCTACTCGATATGTGGTGGTTGCCTCTTCATCTTCCACTTTGGTCGCCAAGAAAGTCAGTGTCTCAACCAACTCTTCTTGGAATTTTATGAACAGTTTCCTTGTGTAAAGCTCAGATGCTTGTTTCTCCATGGGAGATGGAGTCTTAAGAACAGGGGCAGTGTTTATTGTATCATAGTCTGCCTTGACTTCTTTCTCATGGCGACTTTCCAGAGCTTTCTCGTACTGCTTCACAAATTGCTGAAGGGTTGTTGATGCATTGACATATCCATCGAAATAGGAATTCATGCTATCACTACGTTGAGTTATAGACAACTCTGCAAAAAAAGTATCCCTCAAATAAACTGGGACCCATTGCCGCCGATCAGCATATATTCCTTGTAGCCACTCATGTTCCCTGAGATCATATCCATCAATCAAAGAAGACCAACAAGACTCAAATTCTTCAATTGAATCTGCAAAGCCAACACATTTGTGGAGCTCTGCTTCAAAAGTGGGATGTTCAGAAAGCACATGAGACAACTTCTCCTGGCATTCTTTGAAGATATGCCACTTACAGAAACGATGACGGGTCTCCGGGAAAACCTGTGTGACAGCTGAACGGATCACTCGATCATGATCAGTAGTTATTGAGACTGGAGGACGGCCTGACATGGCAGCAAGCCAAGTCTTGAATAGCCAAACAAATGATGCCTCAGATTCATTTATTAAAAGAGCACAACCAAACAACACAGGCTGGCCATGATGGTTAACCCCAGTGAAAGGTGCAAAGGGCAACCTATACCTGTTTGATCTATAAGTTGTATCAAAGGTAAGAGTGTCACCAAAGTAAGTATAGTTAGTTCGAGCCTTGGGATCAGCCCAGAAGATATTGCTCATGCACTGATCTTCATCACCTTGAACAGCATAGAAAAACAAAGGGTTCTCTGCTTGCTTGTTCCGCAAGTAGTCCAACATAATTTGAGTATCTCCTCCAAGGGTCCTCTGTCGACTGCTCCTCATGTAATTTCTGCAGTCACGCTCAGTGAAACCAACATTGCTGATTCCACCATACTCTTTGATGAGTGCAGACATTATTCCACTGGGGCCAATCCCGGCACTCTGCAAGGTATCAATCAATGACTTGGCAGACCCAGAGACATGACGATGAGAACGGAGGCAATGCACCTTATCCGGGGGAACCAGCTCATGGTTATGCTCCCTGATAAATGCAGAAACAACCCACCTGCCAGACTCCTTAATCTTAACAACAAGCATGGCCTTACAACCAACACGGGTTTCAGCACGAGGACGCTTGACCCTGCCATCAGGACGATTAGGCTTATCTTTGTCAACTCGAAAGCCCTCTTTGGCACACACAAAGGACCTCTGTATGATAGCACCATCCCGCCTGGAGCGGCGAGACATGCTTACACGGGTACTAAAGCCAACACGACGAGCATAGGAATTGTAAAAGGCCTTTGCAGCTTCCTCTGATTCAAATTCCATACCCTCATAAGGTTCAAGATTGGAGTCCCCTTGAGGGATGTAAAGTTGACTGCCACCGACACTGTTACCACCACTTCTACCCCCAACAGTAGTAGCAGCAGAATCATCCACAAGGTCATCATCGTCAACAGTATGCTCAATGTCTACAGCATCGTCTCCAAGACCCATCATGTCAAATTCTATTACTTCATTTCCCATATTCAGTTGTTCAAACTCCATATCTCAATATTAGCAAGATGGGTAATAAAGAGCAACAATTTCACCGGTAATTTCGGTCGAATTCCATACAAAACCCGGGTTCAGAAATGAGAGGACATCAAAGGGTAATCCTCATTGGATAAACTAGGAGCCTAGAACTATGCATGAACACAAAAACTAAAACATTTAGGAAGGGACTAAAAACTGACCCAGAAGCATATCAAATTGTTAACATGGAAGCAGCAACATGCATCTTCAGCAGCCAGCAGATATAAGTACTCCACCCAAAAGTAGACGTAAAACCAGAAGAGGTCAGCTTATTTTGAGCAACATCAACAGAGAACACAGAATTGCGAATACCATTTACTAGCGTTCTAAAAAGTTAAAAGCCACCGACTTTGAAATGGGGTTCCGAATGCACCTCTCCTTCAACAGAAAAGAAGAGACCTTTGAATTGAAACAAGGAAAGGAGCTTAATTTATGTCCTCCCAGCCTCTAGAAGGAGAAGAGGACGACTTCGGAGATGGATTTGAGGAATATACAACGGAAAGTTGCAGGAATTGAAGGAGGAAGAAGACAAGAATGGGGTGTTTTAGGGCATTTGATTTCGTGATTTAGGGTCGAGCATTTGCTTTCACGCCTTCAACCTTATACACCGTTGGATCGCATCTGTTTTACAGTCAACATCGCCAGCGTGCCTACTCTAGTGACGTGGTAGAATTTGATTGGTAGTCAAGAGAGAAAACCAGAGGGGAAACAAGTTCTTCTTATCCTCTCTTCTTTTTTTTTTTTTTTTTTAAACCCCCAATTTGGTCCCTTGACTATTATACGGATCCGATTTGATCTCTAAACTAAAAAAATTCCTGATTTGGTCCTTAAACTATTGTACAAACCCCAATGTAGTCCTTATTGCTTACCAATTTGTTTCAAATTGATCATTTCGTAAAAAAAAAACTAATGTATCTGTTATTTAATGACAAAAAATAATAATTTAATGATGAAAAATAATAATTTAATGACAAAAAACAGTAACTTAATAGTCATGTGTCACATTAATAATAAGATATGCTAGTTAGTTTTTTTACCAAAAGACCAACTTAAGGTAAATTAGTAAACAGTAGAGACAAAATCGAGGGTTATACAATAGTTTAGAGATTAAATTAAAGATTTTTTTAGTTTATAGACCAATTTTAAGATCTATTCAATAGTTTAAAGATCAAATTAAAGATTTAATCTTTTTTTTATCAACACATAATTTATATGCATGATACGTGGGTTTGATTTAATGGAAAAGAATTCGGTTCTCTCAAATAATTAAAGAAATAAAAATTTTTGGCTTATGATGTGATTACATTAAATTAGTTAAAATTTAATATAATTTTTATCTATTAAAATTAATATAAAAAATCGACATATATTTTATTTTGTTGGTAATTTTGTTTTATAAGTGATTATATTCGTCTTCATTTCTCAATAATTGTAAGAATGATATATTAAGATATTTGTCGAAATTGATATTGTTAAAAGTTATAATCTCAAGTAAAATTGTAAATACAGAATTTCTTCCTTTTTATTTGTGGTTAGTTGAAAATTTTAATTTTAAGTTCAAGATTTATATTTAAATCAAAATATTCAAACTTAATCTAGGATACATTTATGATACGTTTGGGATTATTATAAAGTGCTGTAATTGTAATTGTGATTGTGTTGAACTGGAATTGTTCTATAATTATAATTATAAGTTATTTTAGTATTTAATTATTTATTATTTAAAAATATT